TCAATTTAAAGCAGCCACTTTAACATTTTCATTATTTTGAATATGCTACTATTCCACCCAGACTTGCTGCTTAATCTCTGCCACGCTTCATCTGGGATTCATTTGATCTGTCATAACATCCTGCTGCTGAAGTCTACAGAGACTGCATGGGGATGGCAGGGATGAATATAAAAGATTTTTTATATCGTTTATATTGCAAATATAGTCGTTTATATTGCAAATGTGTTTGTATACAAATACAAAACGTATACAGTGCTTTGCAAAAATTTTCCTTTATTTAAATATTTTAATTTAAATATACATTTTTGGCATGCTCTTTAATGCTTCATTGCAAGTAATTAGATTTGTAACATAAATAATGATCCATTATTTGATGGAGAAAAAAAGAAAACTGTCACCATTTACTCACCCTCATGCCGTTCCAAACCTATGCATTTCTTTTCTTCTAGAACACAAAATGCGATAGGATCCACCTACAATTATTCACAAAAGAAGATATTTTGAAGAATGTTGAAAATCAAACTGTTTTGGTTCCCATTGACTTCCATTGTATTTTTTGGTTACCAACATTCTTCAAAATAGCATCCTTTGTGTTCCATAGAAGAAAGTCAGTCATGTAGGTTTAAAACAACATGAGGATGAGTAAATTATGACATCATTTTTTTGGTGAACTATCTTTTAAATGATGTCCAGAAGTGGTGATATTTGAATGATTATGGATAATTATTAATTTCTTAACATAACATGAAATAAAATATTATTATTTGTGTGTCCAAATCCTTACAGTCATTGTTGAGTGCCCTCACTTTCATTTTATACAATCACGTTTCTACCAGCCATTTCAAGGCTTCTCTTTTCCCTGATTTCTCTTTATTCAGTACCATGTCCTTCAGCTCTTACAGGTCAATGCAAGTAAAGCCTTCTTTTTTCTTTTCTTTTTTTACCTTTGGTTCCGCCACTTTGCTTATATAGTCAAAATTACATTTTGAATGGCGTCTGTTCATTAAAGTGGCTCAGCTGAATTGATTGCAAACATTTGTAAAGAAGAAGAAAAAAAAAATTTTGTATACAGTGCTGCAGTGTGATAACTGTATGAAATCATGTACGCGTGGTGTTGAAGGATGTGAAGAGCCTCACTGGGACCTCAGTAATATGAGGAAGGATGGCCGTAGGGAGTTTCCTGTCTGCCTCATGCTTCTGTACCACCCACTCCCCCTCCTCAGACCTTATCTCTCTCCCACATATTGCCACACAGATGTTTTGCCACAAAGCACTGCCGAGTTTAAGTCACTATGGGCAGACCTTCCACATGGCGTATTGTCCTCTCAGCCGGACAAAAATGAAATCAAGCCTGCAAAAATCTGTTTGCATGAGCTTCCTGTTCATTATGGCACTGAATGCGGTCTTCAGTTCATGACGCTGAACTGGAACCTGAAGCTTCTAGAGGACAGAAACGGATGAAAATGTATTCTAGAAACGATTAAAGATTATTGTTTGTAGCATGTTCACTAACCTGGGTGGGTCACATCATGTCTCAAAACTGATTGATTCTTGACTGAGGAAACAGTGACTGAACTTATTGTGCCCAACACAATGAAAGATTGAAAGATATTGTTTGTGTTGTTGACAGATTTCAGCTCTTTGATTTCATCCTAATAGTGTACTATAACTGTGTGTACTGACATTAAAAAATGTGAAACCCCGGTGTATATAGGAAAACTTCCAGGTACGAAACTGGCACATCTGACCTATACAGGTTTAGAAAATAGCTCTTCTAGGTTTCTAGGTCATAATGTGCACAAAAAAAGAGAAAAAACTTAAGACCTGAAGACCTTCAAGTCAATAAGGGTTCCTATTTAAAGGTGTACACTGAATTTGCATCCAAGCTGAAATACCTTTCTAATTCATCTATATTATTATTGAATCATTATTAACTTTAAAAGTAATGGAATGAAAGAAGTTTTTGAGCAGAGATATATATATATCCTTTGCGCACTTAGGGTGTATTCACACCTGCCTTGTTTGGTTCGATTGAATCGAACTCTAGTTCGTTTCCCCCCTTGGTGCGGACCTTTTGGGCAGGTGTGAATACAGCAATCGAACTCGGGTGCGGACCAAACAACCGAACCGAGACCCAGCTGAAGAGGTGGTCTGGGTACGGTTCCAAACGAACTCTGGTACGGTTCGTTTATGGTGTGAACATGAACCGACCCAATTGCAAGAAAGCACTGCGCCTTTGAGTTAAAAGGCTTCCGTAGTCGGAGATTTTGGCATAATGGTTTGTGTTATTGTTGGTTAAGTGCGAAAGAGAATTCCATTTCGGCGCGCTGTCTGGCCATACGATACTGTTGCGCGTCTTTCTGCGCGTCGTGTGTGCATCATTGGAATGGAATGAATGAATGAGTGTGTGCATCAGGACATTCACATACAGCGCGTTCTCTTTAGTCTAATCGCGCATAGATGCAAAAAAAGCTTTTGCAGTTCATATAATGTAACGATAGTTACAATACAAGGATGACGCTGCGTTAAACTGGACAAATCGCAAGCGTTAACATTGACAGCACTTGTTAGCAGTATATACAATAAGAATCTCATTATTTGAATGTGTGAACATAGCCCCTCTCTATGAATCAAAACTTTATAGCCTACCTTATCCGTCTTCTGCGCAGTTTCTTCATATTGCGTTTGTACAGAATAACACAAAATTAGTAAAATAACAAATATTGCAGTACGAAATATCTCCATGCTGAGCCTTTTTTGCACTTCCTGATTTCCCTACTTGAGAATCCTTGTCCAATGAATGGACGACCTTAGCACACGTGTGGTTTTGTTTACAAATTTTGGTTCACTTGCAAAAAGAGCAGTGTGAAAGCGAACCGTAAAAAAAAAAAAAAAAAAAAAAAAAAAAATTATTTGGTCCGGACCAAAGCAAGTGAACTATCGGACTTTCCTGGTGTGAATACACCCTTAAAATAAAGGAAATGACAAATTTTCTTATTTTTAGTCAGAATGCGTCTTTCCCGAGTGTTGGGTAAGTAAGAACGACAACACTAAATCTCTGATATCTCAGAATAACAACAGCCACTAAATATTTAATTACAAAATATGAAAAATAAAAAAAGACCTATTGATCACTAGTCATTGCTTTTCTGTTGTGCTTGCCTGAGGATTTAAACAAAAGTGTCAACACTTAGAAAAACAATCTGAAGATGAAAGATGATTCACTTCAGCCAGAAGCTAAAGAGCATTCTCATTCCAAAGCTGTGAGTTTTGGTACTTTCACCCGGATAATATGATGTAAGCTCACAATGGATTCTGTCAATCTCCAAGCTCTACAAAATAATTGCTTATTTTTCACTCCCGAGCATTACAAATAGATCTATGATTGTTTATATGCTTTGTCATACATTTGTTGCATAAATATGCACCCGTCCTATAGAGAAAGGCTTCCCCAGCCTACTCTCGGTTCCTCCTAAGGTTCTTCCTCATCTACTTAAGTTTACAGTTTTTCAATTGCTGCTGTCGCCTTTGGCACGATTCTTTGTAAAGCTGCTTTGGAACAATAGGCTATGTATTGTGAAAAGCGCAAGACAAATAAATCTAATTGAACTGAACATTGAATTGGATCTGGCAGTTAATGGGGCTTACTTGCTAAATGAATAGATCTTCAGCATCAGCACAGCACTTGAGACATGTTTCTAGACATAGGCCTACTGTTTGAGCTTGAATAACAAGACACAACTGAAATGCAGACACAACTGCAATGCTAACCACATGTCAGTAACGTCAGCTACATGTTGTTTTTGTGAAAGTGTATACGACCATGTTTGCAAAGTTATGCAATCACATGTCCTCGCATGAACGATAAGCCACATTGAGAATTTAGTTGTTGACGGTCGCTCTTGACAAAGGGCAAACATCTGACCCATCTATCTAGTGATTAGTGGTTCCACTCAGGTGAGAGTTTGAACTCTGCTCTGTTCTGAATCAATAAATGTACTATGTGTACACAAGCTTATTTACTATGGGGGAACAGCCCACTGAGCATCATGACCCGATTCCCTCCTTTCAGTCTCATGGCCACTGTCCAACACACGCATCATGTACTGCACACTGTCACGTATAACCAACACATCCTTTATCATCTCAAGCGCTCAAGCAAACTGTTCTTCACAAGAAGTGTTCAGATTCACATAATGCTTTCTTGTCGCTCCGCTAAAAAGACTTCATTTCCCCAACAGGCAGTTTTGTTTTAGCTCAAACAGGTGATTATGTATGTAGTACGGACTTTGTGGTGGAAAAATAAATATGAGATGGGAGGGAAAATAAGTCGATGCTTTTGCGTTCCCTCGCAAATGTTTTGCGTTAGGCTACCCCGAGAAACTTTGTGATCGCTTGCAAAAACTTTTGTGTTTTTTTGCGAGCAAACTCAAAGTAGGCTATCTCGGGGTAACGCAAAACATTTGCGAGGGAACGCAAAAGCATTTACTTATTATTTTCCCTCCCATCTATTTTTTCTTCTTCACCATGTCCCTTTAGGCCTAGGGGCTCTGTACCACTTAAAATTGAAAAACAAGAAAATCTCTAATCAGTGCTGTATTGTTCAGTGAAAAGGATTTGGCCAAGTAAGATCATTAAGCCATTTAGCAATCCAGAAGTTTTAAACTTTGCATGACTCTGTCATCATCACGTCAGTCCACACACACACACACACACACACACACACACACACACACACACACACATTCCAGCGAACGAACAGCTGACGGGACGTGCACATCAACAACGCGTGTCCGTGAGAGGGAGGTGGCGTGCGTTCGCGTCATATGGCCCGCCGTTTTCTGATTGGCCAGCGCGACTCACCAGACATGACCGCGCTTGTTTTCTGCAGAGGAAGCGCGCGTGCGGCAGTATTGTAATGTGGAATGAAAAAAGGCAGCAGCGTTTCGTGAAGAGTTGACCAAACAACACATCTGAAACCATCTTTTGTTTGCGCCGCGTTTTGCAGAATAGTTTTAAAAGGCACAGTCGCGTTGTAGACGAGGATACTGCCCAAGGAAGGTGGGTTTTCATAGCCTATATTTCCACTAATTCACTTAGAACAGTTTGTCTTTAAGACTTTAAGTATTTGTAGCACACCAGCTTGGCTTTCAACATTATTACGTGTATTTGAGCGTTTTTTCCTCATGCATAACGTTTTTGATTCTCACAGTGCCAAATGCCAAGACTAGAGGAACACTGTTGGAGCTGCTCCTGTTCAACCAGTGTAAAGACGAAGGACCTGTCAAGCGCCAGCTGGATTGCTTGTAAAACGGGTGAAATGATGTCCATCATAACCTCAGTGCTGAGCCACGCATACGGCTCTCTGCACAGCCTCCAGTCCGCTAATTTAATTCGACGGGGGCTTGTATTGTTTCTCGTTGGAGTAGTTCTCGCCTTGGTGTTAAACTTGCTACAGATCCAGAGAAACGTTACATTGTTCCCAGAGGAAGTGCTGGACACGCTGTTTTCTTCCGCCTGGTGGATCCCCCTCTGCTGCGGCACAGCTGCTGGTAAGTCAGTAACGGTAGGGCTCGAATACACTGTTTTGTATGTGTCGAACACGGTCTGCTTGCTGTGGGCCTTTTGATATCGTGTTTACATTACGTAAGAGTCCCTAGACTGGTGGTTGAGAGCAGTTTTGTTGACATTGGGATTGTCGCTATCTGTAAGTAAGTACTGCCCTGGAAACAGCCGGGCATTCGGGTTCATTCTTGGGGTGCCGCTTTTTAATTGGCTGCGCTCAAAACTGGTGAGCTGCGAGGGAGGCACGCCATTGGCTGTTACGCCGAACATGCCACTTAGCCGAGAAGAGAAACACGGAAGTCGTGTGCAACATAAATGAAGAACGACTCCGCCTCCTGCATTCCTCACAGTCCACATAGTGGTGATGTGGACATACACAGTCTACATCCTTTTCAGTAGTACTTTTGAGTGAACTTACACTTAATGTGACTCAATGTATGTCTAAAACTAATGCCGTCTATTTATTTATTAAACATTTGGTCAAACAAATTTTATTTGAACATAATTAACTTTAAAATTAGATTCAGACATCAAATGTGATTTTTTTTTTTCTCTCTCTCTTCCTCACATTGTTGGAGAATTAGTGTTAATTAAAGCACTACCTTTTCTCTTTCCGCAGCTGTGGTTGGTCTGTTGTACCCCTGTTTGGATCGCCATCTCGGAGAGCCACACAAGTTTAAACGGGAGTGGGCAAGTGTGATGCGCTGCATTGCTGTTTTTGTGGGCATCAATCACGCCAGTGCTGTATCCTTACCAGTGCCACTCATGAAATTGTAGCCATTGTGGAAAATTAAAACTTTCAAACTGTTTTTAAAATTTGTGTTTTAAGGCTGGAATATACCACACCACTTTTAAAATCTGATTTTGAAACAGGTTTTAAAACACTCTGCATCATACACCTGCCGACATTATAAATTGTTGATGAGGAAAAGATTGGCATCATACACTAAACAACTGATGATCACACACCAGACCTGCAAGTTTCGTTTCGTTCTGAACACAACAAAAAAAATCTAGGCAAAAGTGGTGTACTGTATTCCAGTCTTAAGTAAAAAAGATATGTATTATTACTGTACTTATACCAAGATAACAGATTTCTTCAAATACCACGAGCACTTTAATTATCATCACATGAAGTCTCAAAACATTTGTTAACATTTATCCAAGGAAAGTGCTCAACTAGAACTAACTAATTATTTCCTTAAGTCAAAGTACCTCTCAGAAACTGGACTTTGCCAATAATGTGCAGCTTTCATTAACTCTGGCTGCCCTGTCTCTGGGCCTGTGGTGGACGTTTGACCGCTCCAGGAGTGGCTTTGGTTTAGGGCTGACCACTGCTCTTCTAGCCACTCTCATTGCTCAGCTGCTGGTCTACAATGGCATCTACCAGTAAGTTATGACTGACACACATGCAGTGGAAAACATTGTCATCTATTACCAAGTAACGGCTGAGTTACAGACTCGGTTCCATATTTAGATCTGCAGTCATCAGATATGATATTTTTGTGAGTGTTTTGGTCTGAATGTCATTTTTTTCCCCAATAGCTTGGATTTAACAGTTGTTAAAGGTTATTTGCCAGTTGTTTCAGAGCTTTATTCTTTGTTTCTCAGGTATACGTCTCCAGACTTCTTGTATGTACGTTCGTGGCTGCCTTGTATATTCTTCTCTGGTGGAGTGACAGTAGGAAATATCGGCCGACAGCTAGCTATGGTGAGAAACATTTCCTCATATTTTCTGCTTCAACCCTTTTTTTTTTCTCATATTCCATGAAATCATTCATGTACAGTAACTCTGTTAAATTACTCAAGTATTGTCTTTAGTTTCCTGGAGTGCTTTGCACTTGGCCAGTGGTTCAGAAATTAAACTTAAAATGGGGCACACCCACATAAGCAAAAGTGAAACTCTGTATCCTGGAATGGTTCAGCTATTCACAGTACTCAGTGTAAATGCTTAGTTATTCTCATAATAACAAACGTGAATGATTTAGGAACCAAACCAGACTCAGACCCAGGTTATTACACACAACAAGTTCAATGTTTACAATTTAACATACCACCTTAAGCATTATTCAGACAGGATTAGTTTTGTAAACAACGTTTGAGATAGTCATTAACAAAAGACGTCTGTGATTTCACAAACTGATTCAGACGTAGTTGGGATCCAAGTTTTTCATTTATAAAAGGCAGCACAATGACAAACTTAAGCTTTGGTTACTGTATTTGATGAAGGTCAGAACTTTATTCAAATGGGATTTCTTTGTGGACCCATGAGTTAGCTGAAAAGTGGTTGGCAGTTTTCCTTGTAACTTTTACACTGCACTATACACTGTTGTGTTAGAGAACCAAAAAAAAAAAAAATGTTTGATTTGAAAATGTACCTGATCTCAGAAAAAACTAGAGATTTATACTGTACTTAAATTAATTAGTAATGTGTAAAAATCTATCAAGTACATTCCTTTAGAGTGATCAGTTTAAGTTTCCAGTGCTGTTGACACCCTTACTATCTTGTGCCTGGGCTGAAACGTCATGCTTGGACATCTTAATTAGTTGCTGATTGTAGTCTGAGGCATGTTTGTGCCATCCCATCCAAGCCTTCTCAGTCAGCTGTGCCTCTTTGTCTTGCTGACATAACCTCGTTCTTTCTCAATAAGGGCGTGAAAGCAGATTACGCTCCTTGTTTTTCATGCTAATGGTCAAAGTGCTTTACTGGCTCCAAGTGGTGCATTCTACATGTTGTTACTTGGTGTTTTCGATTTGGCAGCAGCTGATTTTGCTTGACCAATTGGGATTAGTGCTCTGCTAGTATTTTTCTCAACTTTCTTTATGAAATTTGCCAGTTGAGAGATTCAAGGGACTTCCCATACTAGATGTAGGCCTACCTGAATATAGGCAACTAAACCAGGACTTCTGTGAATCTCTATTTGGAAGCGAAGTCTTCAACTGACTATTTCTAAATATAACTCTTACCAATTTAAATTTGCATGTATTAGTACTAACAGACCACTGAACCATTTGTGAAGATTTGAAGTAAAACATTGATTATTACCATTATACCATGGTCTGGGTGAATACTCGATTCTGATTGGCTGCAGGGTGTCCATTAAAAAGTGATAGAGGACACCTAAAGGAGTTCTGGTGAAACTGACTGTTTACCGTTCGAAATTAATAAATGCGCTGGCTACATCAGCTGTGAGTAACCATAGCAACAGGCAGTCAAAGTATCCGTTTACAATTTATTGTATCAAAACAAACATCTAGTTAGCTGTTATACTATGCCTACCTGTGTGTTTTAATTATAGGTAAAAAATACGAAAGTGTAACTTGCATGAAAAAAAATACGTTAACTTTCTGGCTCGTAAGTTAGTTAAACTGAAGGGTTCTACGAGCTGAGCGGACTATAAATATCTCCAGTTGATAAATAAACCGTCAGGCGTAACCAGGGAAACCAGATTATTGTTTGTAAAAACTTTAGATTTCGATTGTAAAACTAATTAAAATATAAACTAATGTTTTAAAAATGTGTCATTTGGCAAGTGACCAAAGCGGGTTAATGCCCTTCGATGTGTCCATTGTCAGGTATTAATGGACTTCGGCGGAGGTCGCTGCGCGTTGGACGGTTCACGCCTCGCCGCCGCCCATTAATACCTGACAATGGACTCCTCGTCGGGCATTAACCCTTACTTAAAGGGGTCATATAATGCCATTTTTGTACAAGCTAATATGATTCTTTAGGGTCTAAATTAAAAGTTTGTAATATACTTTAATTAAAAATTCTCATTAGTATTGTAAGAAAACACTTATTTTACCTGGTCAAAAACAGCTCTGTTTTCAGCACGCCGTTTCAGTGCATATGACTTTAAATGATCATGAGCTTTGCTCACCCCGCCCCTCTGTTCTGTGCGTACACGTTTGTAACACAATACCATAACGTGTTGTTCATTATAAACGTGGGATTATGAATTATATGGAGAACGTCGTACATAGAAAACATGCAGTAATGTACCCTGAGTGTAAACCTTAGACTCATTCATCGTGAAGCGATTTGCAAAGATATAAATATTAATATAAAGTTTAATAAAACGTTACACTCACTTCAGTTGTTCTAGAGGTTCAGCAGGAACACGAATATCTGGTACCGATTCTTTATTCAGGAGCAGCTGCTTAGCAAAACCAGCTTTATACTGATCCTCGTTTATAAAGCAGTCTGGTGAGAAATGATTCGCGCAAATATGAGAGCAGTGACGTTGCTCGTGGGGAATATTCCCTTCGAAAACAAACTCAACCACTGCGTCTTCAGCGGTTCGGATTTAGGAACATTAAAATGACTGCTGTGTTCGTTATTAGACCCAAGAACAGAACACCACAATCGCTTAGACGCCATTCTGCTCATAGACAGCTCCAGCATATCAACAATGACCGCGCCGGTCCGCGCAGACTATGATTGACAGCTGGCTCACGAGCAAGGGCGGGTCTGTGTTGAAACGCGCCTATCAATCAACAATCGCGGGAGGGGCGTCCGACTGTGTGACGTCACACGGTCGAACGGCTCAATTTGAGACGGGGGAAACATATAAGGAGATTAAAACAAAACCACTGGATGGATTTTTATCATTATATGATGGTTGTGTACAGGCACTGCCAACACACATTTCAGTACAATCAACTTGAAAAAGTGCATGTACCATTATATGACCCCTTTAAACAATTTGCACTATACACTGTTTGGATTAACAAGAAAGACGTTTTTTTTTTTTAAAATCATTACGTTTGTCACCATTTCTGAACAAGCTTCTGATTAGCAAATATACACAAGAATACTCGAGATTTTCTTTTAATTGAAAACATTAAACAGTGTGTCTCAGGGATGGAAATTAGCACCCACCACCAGCCAAATGCGGGTGATTTTGTGTTGTGGCGGGTAAACTCACTTCACCTACCGGCCACCGTGTCGGGTAAATAAAAATAGCATACTGTTGGCGGAGACTTTGAGGAGGCACACCTTCAAAAAAAAAATGTGGCGTTACATCTCAGGCGTTAATGGTGCGTTCACACCAGACGCGAATAGAGCGTCTGGCGCGAGTGATTTCAATGTTAAGTCAATGCAGGACGCGCATACAAAATTCCTGCAGTGCGAATGAGGTGTAGAGCGCGGCGCGGTAGACGCGAATGCGCCTCATTCGTGCATCAAGTTAGCACGAATGGCGCGAATTGAGCGTCTGGCGCGCGTGTTAAAGGGATAGTTCGGCCAAAAATGATATTTAACACATGCATTACTCACCCTCAAGCCGTTCAGATGCATATGTCAATCTTGTTTCAGACGAACACATTTTCAGTTATTTTAGAAAATGTCTTAGACCCTTCAGTGGATATAATGTGAAGCAATGGGGTCCACCTCCTTCAAGTCCCAAAATGTGCATACATTCTTCACAAAAGTAATCAATCCGGCCCCAGGGGGATTAACGAAGGCCTTATGAGGGTAATCCGTGCGGTTTTGTCGTAAAAATATACATATTTAAAACTTTATAAATGAAAATATTTGACTTCCAGCAACGATCGATGCGCGTTCACGGGTGATGGAAGTCGGCGTACGAGGTAGGACGTAGCGTAGGAACCGTCGTGACGTAGACGTTGTTTTGCTCTGCTCTCTCGCTGCGCAGGCGCGTTCGTTCTACGTCACGACGGTTCCCATCACCCGTGAACGCGCGTCGATCGTTGCCGGAAGTCAGATATTTTCATTTATAAAGTTTTAAATATGTATATTTTTACGACATAACCGCACGGAATACCCTCAGAAGGCCTTCGTTTATCCCCCTGGAGCCGGATTGATTACTTTTGTGAAGGATGTATGCACATTTTGGGACTTGAAGGAGGTGGACCCCATTGCTTCACATTATATCCACTGAAGGGTCTAAGACATTTTCTAAAATAACTGAAAATGTGTTCGTCTGAAACAAGATTGACATATGCATCTCGAACGGCTTGAGGGTGAGTAATGCATGGGTTAAATATCATTTTTGGCCGAACTATCCCTTTAAGTCGACCAAAGCGCAAGCGCATTGGTGCACACCATTGAAATGCTCGAGTGCAGGCCGCGGTCAAAGTTCAAAATAGTTCAACTTTTGCCGCTGCGCTCTGTGACGATTCAAACTTCAAAATCATTTCCAAACTTTTGTTTTTTACACGCGTCAATTTGATAAAGCCGGGTGCAGAGAAAATGCGTTCCGTCGACAGATGTTGCATGTACTCGGTGTGCTAAGCGAAGTTTCTTACAGCGCTTTGTGTGTCCTGTTTTTAAACCGGTCTCCCTCGACGAGACCTTTAGGGAAGGATATGTCTCGAGATCATTTTGCTATCAGATAAGTTCTCGGATCACTCGGGGTACAGCTGTGCTTATGCCTACCTATCGTGAATGCAGTGATGGATATCTGTCTTTCCTCATTCGACTGGTGTTTGGATTTCATGTGATTTCATGGTGTTGATATATGATAACTCTTTCACCTGACAATATGTTTCCACACAACATGTTGATCCATAGTAATCATTTTGATCAAAGTAATTCCAAACTTCGCTGCCCCTAGAGGTAGACAACGACATTCTGTGATCAAATACATTCAACTTGTTTACACGCTCCAGAGCGCCACCCAGTGCATTTAGTAATAACTGCGAGTTTTAGTTTGCATGCTTAGGATTTCACTGCATTTACGGCCAGCAAAGCAACATATGTAGCAAAATTCAAATGGTGTTTTTATTTTTCAAATACTAATTACAGATCGAATATTCGTGCACACCCCTAGTTTGGATGATCAAATATAGCAATCTTTAGTTTTCGTAGAGATAGCACTTCTTGGGAGGCTAGCCAGCTGCCCATGGGTGAGGCATGTGAGAGAGTGTTGACCTATGAGAGGCTATCATATTTTACAGGACTCCCCCTTCCACACAAGCCATGTATAATTTGTTTTTGTTATAGTGCATACTAATTATAGTAACAATTTTGAGGGGCCAAGTGGGCTTTAACTGGACCAGGTTCAGCTTTGTGACTACCAATTTTGAATTGCTTAACTGACTTCCAATACTTAACTACATTAATTCAATTACTGCATGTATTGCACTCTAGAACAGTTTATGCCCTATATTCTATGGGAATCAGGGACATAATGCAAATCAAGCTGTTTTATTTGGTAATGCAAACACTGTATTTTCTTTACTAACGGACTGTCTGTTTTTCCACAGGGCTCGACTGAGAAGCCTCATAATGACTAAGCGGGTGTCAGAGGTCATGAAATGAGCTCCGAAGAGTGCCAAAAAAGAGGGCGTGCAAACTGAGACTATATTGGGTGTCCCTGGTTTCTGTCCAAGCGTAACTTCTGCTCTTAATTTTGCTCCTCTTTATAATGATACAAGAAAACAAAAGAGCGGGTTGGTCTGAGATGGCCCGGTGTGCCATGAACAGCACCTTCGAACACCCCTGGCATCCATTACTACCATCAGCGTCGTCATTGTTACAGTTCCTTGCAGTAGTGTTACTGGTAACATCAGTCTTATTACCAGGTTGCTGGACTGCCAATATAGGACTGTACAAAATCATAGCTTGGTGAAACTTTGTGTATACAAATGAGTGTGTGTGCTGGTCCTATGTCTAAGACTAGGGAAAAAAGGTGGTGTGGAAGTGCACTTTTTTGTGTGTGTTTTACTTTGTGCTGGAGAACTGAAAGAGAAATCAAAGGGAAAAAAATTCAAGACTGTGCAAAATATCCAAAGAGGTCTGTGTACTGTCTATATAGGATTTGTTGTAGTTTAATTTTGGAAAAAACCTGCAGCATTGCGAGACTCCCATACAGACTGACCGCCTTGAGTGTTATTATGAGTTCCAGAGAGGTTTGATTGCCAATTACATTTGTGCAGGCTGGTTAGTGTAGTATATTGACTGAATTTATCATATTTTTGTCATACTTTGTTGCTAACGCAGACCAAAAGTAAAACTAGAAACATTAGTTGTCGAGAAATGAAGTGGCACCTTGAAATAAAAGTCAAACATAAGTTAAAACATCAAGGATGCCTATTTGTATTAATGTAAACTCATAGAATCATTTGAAATGGTGTAATGAAGTCCATTTAAAGGTTGGAAGGCCTCAAAGGTTTGCAATCTGTGATTGCCTTTGTATTATAGAATTAAGTGCTTTTGTCACTTGTTCTCCAGTACAGTCATTTTTCTTTTTCTTTGTACTTCATTTATTGTGTATTGCTTATCACCTGTAGCGGCTTCTATAGCTAATATGAGAGGTATCACCGGGCTAGTGTGTAGGTTTGGGGATCTCAGCAAATTAAGTGCAATCAGTTTCTTTGAGCCTGGTATTTTCATATTTATTACTTTTTACAATGTTAAGGTACCCCAGACGACTCATATGCAGTATAGCAACAAACCAGCAATAAATAATTTGTTCTTGCGTATATGTGAAGGTGTAGTATGACCGCAAACTCATTTTTAAAAGAAGTCACGCACAAAAGATAATCTTGCAAATGATACCAATGACCATTTCCACTGTTCTGAAAAGAAAACAACAACATGTTTTTCTTTGTCTTTACTAGCAGTAGTAAGTTGAAGAAAAATCATTTTAAGCAAAATGCTGTATTTTAGGAACGTTAGAAGAAGAACATGAGGGAAATGTTTTAAAACCATGATAAACGTTGCTCTCAGGAGTAACAGGCTCTGTCTGAACCTCTCTGCTTCAGGGAATGAGAGATGTAAAACTGAATGAAAGCTTTATTTAAAGGGGAGAGAGAAATGCAATTATGTGTTTCTAGGAGTGAGTGCATGTGTCTTTAACACTTTGGTTCATTATATTGTTTTAGGTTCAATGATGAATGAAATTCAATAAAAATTGTGTGTTGTACAACAGTCTTTGAGCTATTCATTTACTCTTGAGACTTGTGTGCTTATTAAAAAAAGCTTTTTATTCATTAATACAATGTCAAATTGTATAATGTTCCTTCTGTTAAGTGTCACCCCCGCTTTTTTGAATATAGATGAAAATGCACATTTCAAACTTAAATGGTTGTAATTCAAGAATGCTTTGGAATATAGACGTAAGATTGGTCTCGTTTTAAAGAACACATTTGGCAGATTTTTGCCAGATTTTAGAAGTGAAATAAATTAAGAAAGTGAAACAGAAAAAAAGTTATAGAAGTTTGAGTTTATGAAAATGTACAGTGTAAACAATTTAATTATTCATATTTTATATAAAATATATATTTTCAAAACCTGGGCGACTCTAAAACTGCACAAAAAAAAAATCAAAGCCAAAAATCTGAATAAGTTGTGTTTCAAATTTTAGGTTGATATTTCAAAAAATGAGCTTTCAGTAAGATTTTGTTTGGGCGCAGTACCAAACTTTTTCACTAGATGACAACCAGACTCCATTACACTAAAAAATTGCTGGGTTAAAACAACCCATTTTGGGTTATTTTGGCAACCCAACGCTGGGTCAAATATGGACTAACCCTGCTGGTGGGTTATTTTAAGACCCACCACAATGTCTTCCATTCAAAGTCAAGAGAAAACATGAGCTGCCCAACTGCATGTTAAATAGATGTTTAAAAGAATGATTCCTGATGGCATAGAATGCTACTCGGCTTCATTGAAATAACTTGAGACAACTGGTCTAAACTGTAGTAGGCTATATTATTTTGTATTGAGCTGCCCATGGTGTTTTTGTATGTTGCTGTTGGGAGAGATCCTTATCGGTAGAATCAAGAATAGGCTACTATTTTTATCATTTATTCTTAATCTTATCCAAAAACAAAAAACAGGTAAACAACAATAACAAGGATTTATGTATCGGCTAAAGGCCCGTTCACAGTCACACCAAGAACGATAACTAGCTATATAGATTAGCGTCCAAACCAGCGGACGATATCGTTCTGTTTATTCTAAACGCTCAAAGTCATTACAGCAGGATGGGTTATGATTGGCTGTCAATGTTTTTATCGTTCATCAGCTGGATAAAATTGTTCTGAAAGTGATTCCAACGATATCGTTTCTCTGTCCTGTTATCATTATAGCTGTGGTGTGAACTCTGTTATTTTTTAATATTGAAATATACGATTTTTAGAATTATATCTTTATCGTTATCGTCCTTGATGTTAACGAGCCTTAACTCTTAGACACATTACACATATACCCGTTCTTCCCAAACATAAAATATCCTTTTGCAAATTTCAAAGGGGCTATGTAGAATTCAGGAACCCTTGTTATTAGCGACACTGGTGGTCGTTAAGTGAACTGCAGACAGCTCGTGCTCGTAATGCATTAAAAAAAATGTTTGTGCTACAAAATAATATGGTAAGAAATACCAGTTTGCAATATCTTGGACAGCTAAAAATAACAGGAAGCAAATGACACTGGAACCCAGACACATTAAAATTATTTTAAATAGGCCACGCCCACTCTTACCTAAAAAAAATAAGTTGGATACTCACGGGGAAGTTGTTTTTCGTTCTTTGCTTAGAAGTAAAAGTGATAGATGCATCATACGGTTAAGGCCCCAAATTGGGGCAAATTCCAAATGGCGTTTTTGCACCCTTCAAGGGGCATTATTTGTAGGGGCCTTCCAAACGAAAGTGAACAATCCCTTAACGAAGGGCCCTTCTACAAGTCCGTAAAGGAAGGCAGGGAACATGTGACGGTCACTTCGAGGAAGTAATTTAATCGTTTATGGTCACGTGACCCATGGGTGTCAAGTCCTCATGATTAATTTTAAATATGGCGGGAGAGTTAAACAGAATAATTAAAGTTGATTTGTTTTGTTGTTATATAGGCTATTACTCATGCATTTCATTTAATTAAGTTTTAAGAAATTTCATAGGAAGACCCGGCTGCGAGACCCGGAAGTTACAACCAACTTTACTTCAGTGTTGTGACCTACAGTATTTCCAAGTGAAATGGACTATTGAATAGAGGGTGGGGTATTAAAAACGATTATACAATTTTTGCCATAATATTTGCTTGTTTGGACTTGTTTTTAAAGAATGTTTGGATGATAGTGTTATAGATGAGACTCGGTCTGGATTTATGAGGGACCGACTCAATGAATAACATTAGATTAGTTAGACTTATTTGATTATAGCAATTTGGTGGAAAATAATAGTTTTATTCTTTTACTTGATTTTTATAAAGCTTTTGATTCAGTAGAACATAATTTTATTTTAAAATCAGAGCAAAAATGTAGTTTTGGTGATTATTTTTGTATGGCGGTAACTCTTTATTACAACTGTAGTACAATTAAATGAAGATATGGCACATCCCCTATAGGTTTTACTTGATACAATGGTAGACAAGGGTGTCCAATATATCCCCTTATTTGTTTACTATAGCTTCCCAGATTTTTGCATCTTATATTTTTAATTGTGGTCTTCGTGGTATCTCTATTGCTGACAAACAGATACTCATCAGTCAGTTGGCTGATGATACAGCACTTTTTTTTCACAATGCTAACCATATATCCAGCAATTCTCCAAAGTGTCACGTCAGGCTTATTCTTGAACCTTTTAAATGTGAATTGATGTCTATCAAAGAGTGTAATTTGTCAGAAATTTGTAATATTAAAATAAGAGATAAGGTATCACATTAGAAAGATGCTCCTTAAATTGTAATACACTAATTGAGAGTACACAGAAAAATCTTATGTGGCTGATGCAGCTTTTGCATGGTTTGTGCTGTTTAATAATCACATAAAACGTAGCAAACTGGCAGCTATGTAATGAAAAGATGTATCTTGAACTCATGGAAACTAGCATACGTAAACTGTAATTAAACAATCTAATAATCAATTAAAAGGGAATTTATACCTGTGTGATATTACGCTTTAGTCACATTGGACTAGCGGTTTTAAAAGTGGATGGCTGATTCAGCTACTGGCGCCATCTTCTGGTCAGATGCGGGGATTCATTCGACATGTGACTATCACAGTGCATTATGGGTATTCTCTAGCTGTTGAACATACTTATTGCGGTGCATTGTGGGATTGAATGAGTGCACTCAGTAACGTCCACTATGTGCGTTCCATTTGACAGGGTCCCTACGCAGTGTTCACTGCTCCCTTCTCCCTGAACACGGTACATCAGTTGAAGTGGACTTCGCTGACAATAATCACTCATTTGGAATGTCCTGCAACGTCATTAAAGAAAGGCAACAACATGGTCGCACAGATTATGATATAACTTAATTAAATTTTGTAATTTACTTTCCTTTCTAATTTAAAATCATATAGGCCTAATAGATACATTCATCACCCCAACCGTTCATAAATACTCTAGTTTGTATAATAATAACAATATGTATGAATACTCAATGCATACGTAAACTCAGAGCCGTTAGAAATTTAAATTTAAAATCTATTCCAACGGCTGATCTGCTCTATGGTTAGTTCCGACTGATGATGCGGTGCACAATGACAGTTGGTTTCCGCTCTCCACTTCCTGTGAAGTGATGTATCGATGTTCCCTTATTCCCTACGCCGTTTGCAGTGCCCTTCAAACTGAACATGTTCGTTCCCTTCGGATTGGAATCTCACTTGTGATGTGGGAACTGGGAACACTTCCCTTAAATCTTGATGTACTCGTTACATCACAAGAAGAATGGCATCTACGCTAATATTAGTGTCTTTGTTTATCCCGAGGTTTTCCCGCAGCCTGCCGGATCCAGGCCGTATCCAGATCTGACGAAGGAGATTCGCCTGGACCTGATGACAATGCAGTGCTGAAGTATCCACTATCCTCTCCCTATGGAGGATCCCTTTCCCACTCTACAGATAAAGCGTTGTGAATTTCGGTTCGCGTACCCCGAAGTGATAAAATAAAAAAATTCTGTATCAAAATTTATAGGCAAGACAAGTAGTTTGTTTAGGCATGGGTTGTATGGAATTACAAACCTGCGCACATATTTTCAAAAGCACATAACTATAGAATCAATTCTGAATGTGCATGTGAACGCCGTCAGCGTTAATCACAGGTTTGCGTTTAAATTCTGATCATTTCGACGGAGGTGAATCAATCAAAATTAACTTTAGCTGGAAATAACATTATTCAAGAACCGCTATAAAGCCAAAACAATCTCTGTTACCTTAAATTATATGTTTATCTCTGTAAAGATGCTTTGAAACAATCCATTGTTAAAAGCGCTATATAAATGAAGATGACTTGACTTAAGATGGCGACATACCCTATTACCCTGTGAAGTCCACTTCGCAGTCCACTTACGGTCGAATGGAACGCACCTTAGGTTTCGGACACCACTACAAATGGCTGTCCCCTTTCGGACACAGCCTTAGACAGACAGTCACCAAGCGCTGGAAACAAAGAGCAGCTGCCTTTTACAGTTCCTCTGATCCAAAACAAGAAGCTTATGCTGCCTTCACGCCATGTCGTAACCGTAATTACGAGGTGGCAACCCGTACCTGAAGCTGTTCCGTTCCTCAGACTTAGATTTATGTTCCTTCTATGTCAACATTATTAACACCGAAATGAATCTGCAGCAGTCAGGTTGCAGACTCTGCTGTGCGGAGGGAACAAAAGTGTTTTGGAGGAGGCGTTCTGAAGAGAGGGTGGGATCTTGTGCTCTCAAAGCTAGCATCTCCGAAATGGCCTACCTTATAAAGTTAAGAGCAGAGTGGGAACACACACATAGGCTACATGTACATTTATTTGTATCATATTAAGAGCAATAATAAGATATGTTGTCGGTGCCTAGCGTTGTGGTGCTAACATTCCATGTGAATGAGTTATGTTATATTATGTTATGAGTAGCCTAAATTATGTAGCCTAATCTTTCATTGCTTCCTTTTCAGTGCGTTCCAAATGGCACACGTTCCAAATGACACACAAGAGCCCTGCTCCCTTCCA